TTGAAATAAAAAAGAAAGAAATTCTGCTTAAGAATATATTTGCTTAAACTTTGAATATACATATTTTTTATTAGAGTTTAATGGTTGAATATACATCTTTTAAATATTTGTTTAGATGAAACAAGAAGAATGCATAAAGCACTTCTGCTGCAATGACATACTAAGATTTTTCTGAAGCAAGGACATTTGTGTGATGGTTTGTGTTGTAAGATGAACTAGCCACTCTTTTCATGAATCATCATTCTTACTTTAAAGAACAAATGAGTTGTACAACCAGAGAAATGAAAATTTGTGCTCCACTGGTATACAATGAATCGAAATGAATTCTTCTGTCATATATACCTAATTAGAAGGAAGGAAGAAAGGAAGGAAGGAAGGAAGGAAGGAAGGACAAATGATAGACAAATTATGGTTATTTAAACTTTAGTATTTGGCAGACTTTTTTTTTTTTACATGAATCAAGTGAGCATGCCTCTTGGAAGTAAACAACTGACAATATTTGTTGCCAAAATAACATTGCAATAGACTAAATGTAAAAATGGCTATGAGAAACCATCTGTCTTCTATTAAGCCTAGCATTACAGAGGTCTGCAAAGAATATAAAACAATACCACTCCTCACTATATTTGTAAGAAGTTATTTTTTCATAAAAAAACACTTATGTAGCTCAGCACAGTGGTGAATACCTGTAATCCCAGTGACTTGAGAGGCTGAGGCAGGAGGATCACAAATTCGGGGCCATCTTGGGCAACTTAGCAAGATCCCGTCTCTACATAAAAATTGAAAAGAAAAAGGACTGGAATTTAGCTCAGGGATTGAGCATTCCTGGGTCAAATCCCCAGTGCAATAAAAAAAAAATGCTTATGTTACATGTCATATGAAATTTTATTATTATTTGAAAATGGATTAATATTTTTAAATTCTCAATCTTAATTTATTCTCTTTGCAATACTGGAGATTAAATCCAGAGGCACATTATCACTGAGATACAACCCTAGCCCTTTTTATTTATTTTGAGACAGTGTTTCACTAAGTTGCCCAAGTTGGACCTGAACTGGTGATCCTCCTGCTTTAGACTCTGGAGTCTTTAGAATTACAGGTATGTGCTGCCTCGCTTGGCTCTCAATTTTAATTTGTTATTTTTCAAAGGAAAGTTTTAAACTTTATTTTATTTATTTCTTTGTGTGCTGCTGAGGCTTAAACCCAGTGCCTCACATATATTAGGCAAGCACTCTACCACTGAGCCACAACCCCAGCCCTCAATTTTAATTTCTAATATGGTAAATATAGATACAAAACACAAAATCTTTTTGGTATCCTTGATAATTTACAACAATATAATGGGATTACAAGAAAAAAAGTTTGAGAATCATTGCCTACATCAATAAAAGAGAATGAATTGGGACTATATACAATAATGGAGATGAAACTGGCAAGACAATCATGGTAGTGTGTCTAAAGAAGACAAAAAATTCATATAATATGATTATATTTTTATGAAGCACAAAAATGGGTAAAACTAAACTATGTTGCTTAGGATGAATAAGTAGCAAAGCAAAGATCTACATAAAAGACTATTATGAAAGACAACAAGGGATTATGATTCTTCAATCACTTATGAAAGAATTTCTTTGAATATAGCTAAGTTTTATTTCTTGATCTATATGGTGGCTAGACTTTTTATAATTACTAATTTATTTTATATTTATATTTTATTTGTAATAAATTTCTGAGCTGAATATATATTTTAAAAAGTAGGGAAAGCTTCATTATCACTACAGGGAAACAAAAGAAAAAAACCATAAAAATAGAAAATAATAAAAATATTAAAACAAAAGTAGTGTATTTATTCTAATTACTATACTAGATTTTAAGGCAAAAAGCACTTCTAGAAAACTAGTATCATACATAATAAAAGATACAATTCACTAAGAAGATATAAATAATCCATATTCTTACGCAGGTAATAATAATGCTTCAAAATATGCAAAACAAAAATTAAGAAAGTTATAAGTACAATTTAATAAATATATCACTGTGATATATAATCCAATATACTAATTGACAGATGAAGCAGATAAAAAAATCAATAATAACAGAAGATTTAAAACACATAATTAACATTCAGGGCAATATGTACATATATTACAGCCCTATACCCCAAATTGGAGAATATCTTCTTTCAAAATAAAGATTACTTATGAATATTGACATGGTTTTTGCACATAAAACACTTCTCACACATGTTAAATAATTGATAAAAACTACTGGTACATTTTCTGATGGCAATGTGATTAGGGTAATTAAGAATAATCTTTCAAAAAATCATAATACAAGGCAAGGTGAAGTCAAACATACTTGACTTTAACATTATTTATTCTTTTGGATTTTTATACTACTTTTTATTTGTGTGGGAAAATAAAAGAGAGCTGATTATATGAAAAATATGAAAAGAATCACAGTTACTTAGAATGGAATAGGCTATATAATGTAACAACTATCTTCTTGGACACAAGGAAATATACTCAATCTCTTGCTGAAGTAGAAAATAATTTAACTGAATAAAGGCAGAATCAAATATAAAAGGGATTAAATCTTGGAACTAGGCTAATACACAGGTCAAAGAATCTCTTCTATAGGCCACTGACTTTCCTAAAGGAACTTCTTTCCAAAGGTGGAAACTAGTTATTATAAAGCTCTTAGATTATATTCAGCTTCATGATACCTAATCACTTCCATTAATCTACAACTCTGGAAAATATCCAATAATTATTGGTTAATTTATAACATTACACTAACATATTTGTGTAATACTTCAGTGATTTATATACCTTTTCAAGTTATTTGAATTTTTAAATATTTTCTTTCTTTGCTTGCAGTTTTTGAAAATAATCATTTCGTTTTTGAGCAAACCCTCAGGAACTTAGCAAGACCCTGTCTCAAAATAAACAATAAAAAGGACTGGGAATGTGGCTCAGTGGTAAAGCATGCCTAGGTTCAATACTCAATACCAACAAAATTTTTTTTCTATTATAAGACAAAACTTATAAAACTAATTTAACTACCAACGGTGTTCAAAATCATGAAATTCACTCAAGACTTAATAAAAATAACACCCATTTATATCACTTTAACGTATGCATTATATATATGGGGGGAAAGTTGTCTTCTGTAAAATAATGAAAAGAAAAATGTTACCAATGAAATATAAGATCATACACATACTTTCCTTTTAAAGAAGAAAGCATAATATAAGTGAAATATGCATTTTAAGTCTGCTTCTCAATATTATTCTCTTAATGAGTGACTACAATTTGTATTATGTAGTTTAAACTAGAGCTATGTTAGAATCTATTTCCTTTTTACAATTACTCTGTGATATGCTTTTTTTAATATTTATTTTTTAAGTGTAGATGGACACAACACAATGCCTTTATTTTTATGTGGTGCTCAAGATCGAACCTGGGTGGTCCCGCCCGTGCTAGGCGAGCGCTCTACCACTGAGCCATAATCCCAGTCCTGTGATGAGTTTTTAAAAAGCAGAAAACTATTTATGATGTTAAAAGAAAAACAAAAACTTATACAATGATGACAAATCAGAAACAAAATATAAAGTTATAAGTATTATTATGTTTTCTGAGGCAGATGGTATTATAATCTGTAATTTTTACAAATTTTACATTTTCATTTTACACATTCTTTACAAAATTTTGAAATAATTAAGAGAAATTCTTTTAAAAATTTAAGAAAATGATAGACTATATTCAATGGAAAACAGCAGTAAATTTTGTAGAAAAAATTTTACAGTTTCTTCAAAGATTAAAACAGTTATATGAGTTCCACAGACTTGACTTATTCCCTAATTATTCTAGATCAATTCCTTGTGACTATGCAAAATATCCTGAGTTTATTTTATGTTGTTGATGTCTTAGTACACGTTCAAATAAAAGGCAAGAGTTAGTTTTTATAATTTGGAATTGTGATTAAATATTCAGTATATGAGACAATATACTTACTTTTAGAATTGCACACTATGGCTACAATACTCTCAGAATAATAATGAATTAATCACCTGAATTCAAGGGCTTCTCAGGTGGAATTGCTAGAGTATGAGGAAGCCTTTTAAGGGGCTAAATGATCGTTGGAGAAAATAAATAAATTATTGTCCATGTTCGCATTACAAAAAGGGCCATGGTCTATGCTTAGTAGGTTAGTTACTAGCTGGGCTAACCAATAAGCTCTGACTTTATCAAAAGAGAAGAAAGCTCAACATAAGAAAAGTAAATTTAGAAATTCACTGATAAGAATTCCCAAATTTTTCAAGACAAGTCTGAAAATCATAATCTTCTTTGAAAACTATCATAAATCACTGATATATTAAATAAATCAATTATCATCTTACATTAAATTTTTGTGTGTACAGACCAGAGAAATAGGCAGGTAATAAGAATTTCAGAAAAAACAAACAAACCGTGAGCTGTACTAAAAACTAAAAAGTTTGTCTATTAATATGCTTCTTTATTAGAACTGATCAGAGATTATGTACCAGATGGATAGATCTAGATCTTAAACTACCCATGATGCACAGGAGCACAGATTAATTGCTCTGTTATTTGTATACACCTTTTCAAATATTGCTGAAAAATATAACATTTCAATAATTCTCTTAAAGTTTTTAGTGGCTATTGTTCACTCACATTTCCTTTAATATAAAGATAATAAAGATGTATAATCACTGTGTCTATTTTAGTCTTCTTATAAGTGTAGGAAGGAAATGTAAATTCCTTCCTAGAATATAAATACAGTTTTGGCTCAACTGTACTTATTGTATTCAATAAATTCCAAAACATTCTAAATATTAGATATAGCTTTATATAAAGAAATAACATCATCAAGTATAATAAAGAAATAACATCATCAAATATAATAAAGAAATAACATCATCAAGTATAACAGGTGAAGGCTATATACATAAAGAACATTTAAAGTATTGTACATACACTATTAGTAGGAGAATGGTATCCATAAAGTTGAAGACGCTGACATAGAGCACAAAGGGCCACATGAAGAGTCACATTTCAGAATGAACCCAAGAACAGCAAAAGAAAAAAGAAAAAGACGACAAAATAATCAATTAGGAAGGGCAAATCATTATGCTACATTCTTACACACACAATGCAAGTGGGATAAGTTAAAGATGAGTAGCAAAGTTTTAAAATTTTCATATAATTAAAACATTTAGTGAATTTGTGACCATTTCAACCATGCTCATTGTAACCTGATAGCACTATTGTTTTGAGTAAGACATACTCCTCTTAAGTATACAGCTTTATTTGGATGGGTTTCAGCAATTTTACATGGGATGGGCGAAACTCTAGATATAGCATCATGACAGTAGAAATGGTCTGAGACTTGCACTGGAATTCTGTTCTGTTATTATCAATGCTATGACATTATACAAGCTAAATAACCTCTCTTAGACTATTTTCTCGTCCATAAAACAGGGACAGTACTTACCTGGGAGAACTGTAATAAGGACAAAAATGAAAGTAACATTTATTATGAACACAGCACAGAGCTTAGCATGTAAGTATCCCAAGAAATGTTATGTTTATTTAACTCCTTCTCAAGTATAGCTACTTTTTTATATGGAAATATTTTAAAATTTAATTTTTATTTGAGTATGTTAATATTTATTATAAGGTAGTTATGTGATTCTATTAAGTTTTACAATTAGTTAACCTTTTTGAGTTCTATTATATTTTGCATACTGTTAAATGGCTCCTGTTAAATGGCATGTGTTTTAGTTAATTGAATTCCCATAAAAATCACATGTAGTCATTACTCCCGTTTACCCTACTTGTACAAATGAAAAAACTGAGGCATAGAAAAGTTAAGGAAACTTATTCAAGATCACACCAATAACAAGTGGCATAGTTAATATTCAAACACCAAAAAATCTGGCTCCTCAGCCTATGTCAGCCTGCTTCTTTTTTTCCAAGCTGCTTCTTTAATATAACCCACATATTTTCGCAATGAGCTGGATTTTAGTTGCTTTGAAACTCAACCATAATATTTTAAGAATGTGTAGAATCATACTGTCATTTATAGCATCTTGACAGCACCACTTGATGTTCTAAATGATCCTCTATACTTACAACAGTATAAAATAAAATTTATTAGTTCAGTTTGCATTATTTAAAATGCAATTACTTATAGTAAATTAAAACTAACATTATCACTAAATATAGTAATAAATATTAGTAGAGAACTATACTGCTGAAAAGTAATGTCAATCAGAAGCAGAACTAAAGATTATTCCTGTATTAAGAAACAGTTCTGATAGTTAAGTTATATAAATGAGACTTTAGGAGCACTATTTAATCATACAAGATAAAACTTCTGAGACACCTGAGGAGATCAATGACTTTAGTAAGCATTCCTTTACATATAGGGTTAGGGATGCGGCTCAGTGGTGAAGTACCCCTGGTAACCTTCCTCAAAAAAAAAAAAAATTCTCTTTACCCATATATTTGCTAGGGATGCTTCATTGACCTATATACATATAAAACAACACAACTTGGATATGCTGTAGTAATTCAGATTTCATAATTTCAAGTTAATGAGATTTTACTGTATCATTATTACAAATATTTGCATTAAATCAATATTAAATTTTCTTTACCTTGGCTGTAATGAAGCTCAAAGAGATAAGTTTTGTGCTGATACTGTATACTTCCCCAATGTGTACTGTCTGCTAATATTTTTTCCCTTCCTCTCACCCTTTGTTACTTGATGCCTGTGTTTTAATAATCATTAATGATTAGAATCATATTGTAGTTTTATTGGAAGATGAATGAATCCTCTCTGGAAGTATTATAAATAGACAAATAAATAAAACAATTATACTTCTATCCATTAAAATTCTATTTATTACTAAGGCATATCAAATTCATTAACATAATTAAATCTACTTAAATTATTTCATTAAGAACTTGCCGATTCAGTGAATTATAGTTAGAGGTAATCTATCAAAATTAGAATACCTGTTTACTCTTTTAATGTATTATGTATAGGAGATAAAATTTAAGAATGTATTTAATTTTCTAGTTGTCTTTGCTAATACTTCAAATGATAGCATTTACAGGGCTATCAACATAAAATTTATTAGTTACAATTTGGAAACTATGAGACCTAAATTAAGTGGAGAACTTTACCTAATACCCCTTTAATACTTCCCTAACATAATCAGAACCAGCTCTTTTTTTTTTTTTTTTTTTTTTGGCAATTCTAGAGATTGAACCCAGAGGCTTTCTATTATTGAGCTACATTCCCAGCACCTCCCCTCCTTTTTAAAAAAATTTTGAGACAGGGTCTTGCTAAATTGCTGATGCTGGCTTCAAATTTACAATCCTCATGCTTCAGCCTCCTGAGCTGCTGGAATTATAGGCATGCCCCTCTGCACCCAGCTCTTTGTTTTTTTAAGACAGTCTTCTATAAGTCTTGCCATAATGCGTTGATAATTTCATCACAGTAAAATATCAACTATTGATAATTTTATCATAGTCAAATATGAAGTATATGTCTTTCATAGTCTTAGTAATATGAATTTATTAAATTAGATATAATTAAATATTTCACTAATATACTGGGAATGAATACGGTGCCCAACTGCTATCAATAATTCATGTTTAAAGAAAAACTAATACAAGTAACCATGAGAATAAAAAAATGAAGTTAATTATTTTAATTCCAATAAAAAATTAAATTACTTTAAAGGGGGACTAATTTTCAAATAAAACAATTATTTACATGTCTGTATTTCTGGTATATAAGTAACATATGAAGAAATATGGTACAATAAAAAAAAGTTCAGGTTTTGGAGCTGGCCATACTTGGGCGCAAATCTTAGCTTTCTTATTTAATAGCTATATAACTTTGGATATGATATTTTCCAATTATCAGTTTCTTCACCTACAATTATGGATAATAAGAGAATTGTTAGGTAGATTAAATGAGTAAATTCATGCAAAGTGCCTACTATAGTGTCTGACAGCATGTCTCTGAACTCATTTGTTATTTTTGTAACTTGAACTGACTTGTTGTTAGGCTGAAATAATTGAGACAAACAAACAAACCAAAAAACTGGTAATAAGATGGAAGGAAATGTTGCTTAGAAAATTCTAACTTTAGAATAAGACAATAATATTATACATTCCAGAAGAAGAATCTATAATATATATTTCTATGAATGTTAACAAAAATCTACATTACTGCCTTGTATTCGTTTCAACATTTATATTGTTATATTACCACTAAGTTCATTTATATCATAATTAAATCTTTGCAATTCACCTTTTAATTTTATATGCATAATGATCTGCATTAATATGCTGTATGATATACCCTTCAAGTCTCACATATAACAATAATATGAATGAAAATGATTTAATGAATGTGACTATGGGTACAGATATTTAATATCAATATTTAATGTAAATATTGATATTGAGGAATATAGACACAAAGAATTTTTCTATATAACAACTGTAAAAAGTTTTCAAGAAAATTTCTAACTTCAATTACTATTTCCCAGTGTGAATAAAGTAATTCTCATCTGGAAAACCCACCTGAAACTACTATAAAGTATTTCTTACCAGCATTGCACGCTTTTCTTCATCTCCTTTAGTTTCTCTCTTTTCATTTTTTTTCCTGAATATCTCTTGAAGCTGAAAGGAAATTAATCAACAATCAAATACCCAAGAAAAGTTTTGAGGCACCTACCTATCACACTATGCTAGGAGAATTCTGAAAACAAAGAAAATATTTGGATACTACTTCAACTTCTTATTTCATTACACAATAGATGAAAGTTAAATAAAATATGCTACCTCCCAAGACTTTAGACTTATTCAAATAACTTAGACCACCTCCTGCTTTTAGGAACGTTTCTCAAATGGGCAAATTATCATGTATCAGGCAGTAGTACAGCAACTGAAAAGATCGGATACCAGCTTTAAAGGGAAAGCAGCTTTTTTAAGAGGGTAGAGGGCCAGGGATGTGGCGCAGTGGTAGAGTGCTTGCCTAACATGAACAAGGTCCTAGTTCAATCCCCAGTACAACAAAACAAAAACCCAAAGAAGAGTGTACAGTAGAAACAAATAAGAGGTCAATATGAATACTTTAACCTCCCATCTCCATAAACAGACAGCATTCCAAAAGCCATCTATATAAAACTACTTCAAGGGAATGAGTTCTCAAAGTTTTATGTCAGTGGGGTGAAATTTAGCAGTGTTGACATTAAGAATACTTACTCAAAATTTCTTAGATAAATAGGCACATTCTGAAAGTGTCCCAAATACAGTTCTGTACTATCATAACAAAACTACATTACACTAAACTTGTCTATTTTAGCATATCTCCATTTATTGCAACAAAACTAAGAACACCCACCTCTTGACAATTCTGTAAAGCACTAGAATGTAGGTTACAGGTCCAATGGCTTTGGCTCAGGGACTACCCCTAGGCAAGGGCTATGTGGATGTTAGTTTAAGATTTTTAAAAAAATTTAAATTGATTTTTTAAAAGTAAATGACAGTGGAATTCATTACAATTCTTATTACACATATACAGCACAATTTCGTAAATCTCTGATTGTATATAAAGTATGTTCACACCAATTTGTGTCTCCATACATGTACTTTGGATAATGATGTCCATCACATTCCACCATTCTTGCTAACTGGTTACCCTGCCGCCTCCCTTCCCCTCCCACCCCTCTGCCCTATCTAGAGTTCATCTATTCCTCCCATGCTCCCCCTTCCTATCCCACTATGAATCAGCCTCCTTATATCAGAGAAAACAGTCAGCATTTGTTTTTTAAGGATTGACTAACTTCACTTAGCATTATCTTCTCCAACACCATCCATTTACCTGCAAATGCCATGATTTTATTCTCTTTTATTGCTGAGTAATATTCCATTGTTAGTTTAAGATTTTTGATAAATCCCACTAATTAGTCTTGCTTATTTCCCTTTGAATGGGTACTAATGCACTTTTGATGAGGATTTTTCTCTCTTCTCTTTTCTACCAGAGAAAAAAATGATTTCATCTGTGTTCTAGTCTGTGAAGTAAATTTGAAGCTTATTAAGAGGATTTCTGAGATATTAATACTGGTTGTATTACAAAGGAAAAAAAACAAAAATAGAAAATAAAATGACTATGTGCCATTTTTCCCTTTATTTTTAAGAAGGTAAAGACAGATTTGAACATAAATGTTAAGGGTAGACCTTACTACTTTAAGGAAAATATTAATTTCTATTTTAGAGCAAAAACAGAAATTTTACCATAGAAAAATATTCAGGATACATAAATAAAAAGAAAGAGAAAAATACTGGAGGAGGAGGTGGGAAGATAAATGAGCAGCTGAAGACACTGTCAGACCAGCACTAAGGCTGGACTAAGGTAAGAAAGATCTACCTATAAATACTTAAGAACTGTCAGCCCTTATTCAAAGACAAGAAAAGGGAATAGGGAAGTGGATACAATACTGTAATAAAAAGCACCAGTGAGTGGAAGAGATAAGGAAAAAGGGAAACTATCTAGACCCTGTACTGAGAAGGAAGGAAAATCCTTATGGCAAATACTTATGATTAGTTGGGTGATATAATAAAGACTGAATACTAACTTGGGCAAATATAATATTAGGGCTGCTTGTTATCTATCCAATAGATAATATCTGATACATTCCAAACTTCTAGCTAGTATTTATACACAATTTTAATCATCTTTATACTATGAACATAATGTATATTTTTATAATGAAAATATTATTGAAAGTATGAGTATATATTTCTTTACTAAAGTTGAATTATAGATTTTCACTCTTTCCTCTAGAGTAGTACTTCGATAATGTAAAAGCATAAACATATAAAATAAGCAATATTTATTATTGATAAAATGCAGCATATAATATACCTACCACCAAAAACTCCTTTTTATCCACCATCTCATTGCCATCAGTGTCAAACATGTTGAAAGCTATTCTAAAACCTGCATGTGGCTCTGCCATAAAAAAATAGAAAAAAATATGCATGAAATGGAAAAATGTATTTTTAAAGTACAAAATCTGTAAAGTTGTAAACAGTTTCTCAAATGCATTATGGAAATATTTTCCTCAACCAAGAAAATAAAAGCAACATGTTACTATTATTTAAATGTAACAAAAACTAAAAAGACATAAACACAATAGCAGACTTAATAACCAAATTGGTAATATACTTTAAAAGTATCTTATAATACTGTATAGCACAAAAGGCAAAAACTGACTACTTTTCTTCTAAAAATAAACATTCAAAGTCTGTTAGTTTGTTAAAAAAACTATCAGCTCATCATATCTGAAATAATCTCAATGTTTAACAACTTAGATTGGTATAAAAAAATAAAAATATGACACAATGAAACAGTTCCAATTTGGAAAATTATAATTCAAATGACCTATGGAAGTAAAGGTCAAGAATGAGAGGTTTCAGATTTGGGTTTAAGTTTCTGAAGGCTTCAAAAAGAGAAATATAAAAAAAGAGGTTTGATTATGTAATACCCAATTCCTCCAAAATACAAGGAAAAATTGCTTTTCTGAGAAAGACTTCCATAAGTTAAAATAATAAAAAATAAAAAGGAAACACTTATAGACAGATAATGAACTGCTTTAATTTTATGAACTTTATAACAAGGTTCACTCTTTTTTCTTTTCACTTCTAGAACAAAAAGAAGAAACCTGGGCTGCAGAAAACTTTAACATGTCCTTCAAAAGAAGCTCAGTACACACACTTTCTCAAAGTATTTGACTTTTCTTTTGACATGACTGGCATAAAGTTTAGAAAGGACCCCTGCAACTCCCCACTACAGATATACTTGCTACTGACCCATTGTGAAATCCTGAACCTGGCAAAGGAGACACAGATAGCCCTACTTATTTAACCCATAATATCTTTTTCTGAAAATATGAAAAACAATAGAAAATCCTTTATGTTAGCCAAATCTTGCATGTATTTTAGGAATCTAAACTTAATTTTATTACCATTGACTTTAGAAAGAAAGAAAAATTCACACCATCTCTGATAACCAAGTTTTAAGCTTTAAAAAGATCTTGAAAGTAGACTGTTATAGTTTAGATGTGAGGTGTCCCCCCAAAAGCTCACATGTGAGACAATGCAAGAAGATTCAGAGGAAAAACAATTGGGTTATAAGATATTAACCAAATGAGTGAATTAATCCCCTGATAGGGATTAACTAATTGGTAATTGAAATGATGGTAGGGTGTAGCTGGAGGTGGTGGAAATTGGAGTTGACTTTGGGGTACATATTTGTATCTGGCAAGTAGAGAACTAACACTCTCTCTCTCTCTCTC